GTTGACGGCGGACTTCCTGGCGAGATACGTGATACCTCCGATGGTCCTTGCCTCGTGGATTTCCGGTTGGCCATAAGTGTTCGTTCCCTGCATCGCTTGCACACCATTTACGCATTTCGTTGTCTCTTCGGTGTTCGGTTTCTCGCTAGTATCACCACCGGCGCGATCGATCCTCGTTGCGCCCGGCGCATTCGGCCGTTGCATACATACAATATCACCCTGGCCACCATGACTCGGTAGATTCTGCCCGTTAAGATAGTATTGCTGCATCTGACGATAATGCCGAGATGGAGCACCCCCTCCGTATTGGTGAATCATGGTGTTGTTGTCGTGACACCTTTCCGTTATTGGTACATTTTGCTGCTCGTAGGGAATTGATCCGTGCACATTTTGCGCATGGGAAATTACGTCTTGTTGCGAAGTCGCTATCATACCATTCTCCTTTTCGGCTTGCATGCTGTAACAGTTTCTCATGTTTTGTCTTTGTCGCGGATATTCCGCCATTAGCGATTCATTAATTCGTTTAGGTAGCAGGATACGTGACGGTGGGTTGTTTGAATTCCTATTATTCTCCAAACCGTTCGCCGAGATTCTTTTCTGAGATGGCGCAGGGATTTCCGTAGTTGGTCGCAGTTGCATGTCTTCCGGGATCTCGTTGGAGTCTTGAGTGCCGTTCAGTCTGACGACAGGTTTCTTCTTGGCCAAATTGGCAAGGTACTCGAGGCCTTTTCTACTTGTCGAATCCTTCAGTGTCTCCAACATCTTCTGAATGCTGTCTAGATCTTGCAAGCCATTATTGCGCTTCTGAGGACGGATTATTTCCTTATACATTCGCATCTTTAGCAAACTGGAAGTTTCCATAGATCTTTTGCTTTGCTCATCAAAGTTGGTGGAATCTATCGATGTTTTTTGATTGTCAACCGATGAACTCAGGTTATGCTTAGGCCAGACTTCTTGTGGTCCAGAATATGGAAAATACGGATTATAACGTATATTATATGGATATTGCACATATTTATTAAAAGATGGACTTAACGAATGGCATGTATTGTTCGATGCATTTTGCTGATAATTATGCGAGTAACAGGCATTATTGCCGCATAATATTTGATCATTTCTATATGGCCAGGTAGTCGTTTGCCATAACTGATGAGGATTTACTTGATAGTACATTTGCTGAGGCGTAATTACTTGATTAAACATTTCCTCTTTTGGCTGATGATAATTTTGTTGTTGATCGGTCACCGTTTTATTAATTTTTTCCGGTGATTTATCGTTCATCAGATATTGTTCGTTGGAGGCTCTTTGCTGTAATTTCATTCTTTCAAGATCGCTGTATGATATGCGCGGTGGCGTAATGTGCACCATCCATTCCGGTTTCTCCTCCTTCTCTGTTCTTTTTCGCGTGATTCGAGTCTTCTTAATTTCTTTCGGAGTATCTGCTTCTTGATGAAATTGCGCGACGTAAGCTAGATGTCTTCTTTGCTCGTTTAATAATGCATCAAACTGACGATGCATTATCTCTTCAGGTACACCTTGCTGTCTCATAGTAGAAACTAGCAGTTCCTGATCACGAATCATTTCAGGTGTAAATTGTAATGTCTTTTTTCCATCTCGTTGATTATTCGCAGTTAATTGTTGATCAGTAAATTTGTGATTTGCTTGATTATGTGATGGATTAGATTGATCTTGGTTTCCAAAATTGTGCTGGTTGGAGCCGGCTATTTGATAATAATACTGATCTTGTGGCGATGATTGCTGATTTTGATTCACTATTTGCATCCATCTATCGTTCTGCGGCCACGGGGCTTGGAAATGAATTGGATATCCGAGATTCTGTTGATGGATAGGTAAATTGTGCTGCATTAATCTCATCTGATTCACTGTCATATCCTGTGGCGAAGTCATTCCTTGTCCAGAAATTTGCGCAACAGGAAATTGTTGATTGCAATGACTGCAGCACGTTACTGAATTATTGTGTATATGTTGCTGGTCTGACATTGGTACTTGATTGAGAGTTTGTGGCATCATTTGTTGATAATGTGTGTTATGTTGCGTCTGCTGATTGATCTGCTGTAAATTCTGTTGGAATGGAACATGGAATTGAGTGTGATAAACATTTTGGCTATTCGCAGATTGATCATTTAGCGGTGCACCAGCATCCTGTAAGATCGTTGCTTGCTTCTGTTGCTGCATTTGCATCAACATTTGCCTGTGATTCGCCGCGTTTCGACCGCCGACCGGTTGCTTCTCGTATTCATTCTCGAGCATGAAAGGTTCATTACAATTTTGATTAACAACCGAAGATTTTTGTGTTTGTGGTACGATTTGCGTCGAAGGAGTTTGCTTAATCATCGGCTGATTAATTATCACGGGCGGACTTGAAGGTGATCGATTGATTGCTGATCGATCAACTTTGAGAATGTTTGATGTGAAAGGCCGGTGCATCTGTCTTTCAGGAGATGCAACTCGTCGAGTTAGCAAGCTTTCTGAGTGTGGATTCGTTTGACAGATCTGCTGATGGTTAGCGACAACCTGTTGCTGATTCATGGTAGAGGTAGTCTGTGGTTAAAAATACATAAACCACGTTAATAAAAATCGTTAATTAATTTAATAATATTAATCTAGTTCACTTCCATATAAAAATTAAATTTTGATAAAATTTTATGATAGTATAATTTATAGCTTATTAATACAAAATCAAAGAAGAGATTATTGTAAACTAAAATACGAAATTTGTTTAATTTTAATATAAATATATAAGTATATAAATATATAATAGTATATAATAGTATATAATAGTAATAGTATATAAAGTATATAAGTATATATAAATATATAAATATATAAGTAATATTTTTAAAAGTTTAAATATCTTATATAGATTATATCTTATATATATTTAAAGTTTAAATATTTTACAAAATTTAATCAATTCAGAAATTATTTTTACCTAATATGACATCAGTGTATTAATATGAAATTAAAAAATTGGAGGTTTTTTTTTAAATTTACTTTTGGTTGTTGATGCAGTAACAATTGAGCAGAATTTGCATCACCATGTCCATTATTATTTATAGTAGAAGAATTCGCATAAAAAATCCCGGTTTCTCGAGGATCTTGCTGCATGATTAAAGCGGCGATTGGCTCGGGCGAGAACATCGGTGCATTGTTCAATTTTTTGATCTCCTCAGCAGGAAAACTTTTGAGTCGTGATGAGGAAGTTGAACGCGCCTCTTTTGATCTGTTGCGACTGCTGAATCTAGTTTTCGGAGATTGCATCTCATCCGGTATCATACGATTGTTTTTCAACTTATCTGACGAGTTTGAATTGCATGAATTCTGCACGGATGGTGATTTCACAGATCGCGAACGTCTTTGATTACTTGTACTAGCAGTTTGCAAAGATGTCACGCTCGAATGCGCAAATGATTTTTTATGTCCAGAATTCTTTTCAGCTAAGATTTTCCTGAAATAAAAATTTTCGAAGTAAGGAACTTTTATATTTTTCGATCTGAAACATTGTTTTTCGTCACGCTTACCTCTTTTTCATTATTATTAATTCTACTTAAATGCTAATTTGAATATCGCGACATTTGCTGCCAAAAGATCATTATTTAAAATTTATAAAAGATTTCTCAAATCAGATTTTTGCATTACTGCATCGAAAGAAGGTTGCGAGTTTTGACG